CTGCTAGTGCTTCCACATTATTACATAGAAACAAGCAAAATGAGTATTGTACAAACCTGCGTATAACATTTGCTACTCTCCGGATCTTGCTATGTGGATCGGTCCAAAAGAAAGATTCAGAGTACTCTAAACAGATCCCTTCTTTTTGTGCTGCATCAAGAAAAGACCCCATGCCATAATTTCCATAATCTGAGTCTGARTAGACAGCACCGATCCAAGTCCAGCCAAAGTGTTTCACCAGCTTTACCAGCACGTCAGCTTGGTATTGATCACTGGGAAGTGTTCTAAAAAAAGTTGGAAACTGCTGCTTATCTGACAGGCAGACACAAGTCGCAAAGTGGCTCACCTAGAAAAAATATTTCAATCAGTGATATAAAGTATATTTATCATTTCCGTTTAAAAAAATGTGACTAGTTACCAGWGGGATGTTGAAGGACCCGATGATGCGGGATATGCTGATTGACGGCGAGGATGCAGAGTCTCCAACAACTGCCAACACCACACCAGATTGGGAACAATTGCTGCCTTTGTGAAACACAGAGTCTTGTCCGTTTGAAAGCTGAAATGYCACATGCATGGCCATGGGCACTGAAGTGCATGTGTCATAGATCTGATATCCAAGTTTGATGCCCGGCAGCAGCTTTGTGCTGTTGTTTATCTCCTCAATAGCAAATATCATTGTACGAGTAAAACGTAATTCTCGAGCTATAAGACTGCACAGAAATAGGTGAGTGTTCAAATTGTAATGAAAAACATAGGCTGCACACAGTAAATACACTGCACACTAACATAAAATAAGCAAAAAGCAATGTATGAAAAATTAACTTTTTGTAATAAATAAAACAATGTATTATTTAATTTTGTAAACTGTAAAAAACAACAACCAAATGACATTTTTAAAAATGTTTACAAACCTTGCAGCAAATTGCATATTTTAAACAAGTGTCTACCACCTTTTTTCTCTTTCTTACCTTCCTGTGCATCTTGAAGGTTCAGGCTTGGTGGTGTAGTTATAAAGCTCTGTGAGCTGTTTGTAATGTATAGAAAAAACACCTCCGATAACAAAGTCTCCAACCATTGAGAATGCAGGTAAACTAGGGGTACTCTGAAGTGTACATTTCATTAACGAATCGTTGTTACTTACACTACCAACAGGCAGTGTGTCTAAAGGCACGATCCTTTGTTTTAAACCATCTAGAGAAACAATCAAGATAACTATGATCACTTCAAATAAATTCATAACTTACTTCAGACCTAAGCTAAAATATGTCCATTCAGTGAGTGTCTGTATTTGGGTGTACGTGTGTTTTACTAGCTTATATACCTTCTCTCTTATCTGTCAGATRTTATGTTTCATTAGAAACACAACATCCCCACCCACTGATCTTTGAACATATTGTTTAATGAGTCTTCAAGGATATCCTTTCCATTGCATGTTATTTTTTATATTTTATCTTTTGAAATGAAATATTTTAACTTCAAAGCTATATCAAGTAATTTGGTAGCAATACATTGTATAGTATAATGTGACAGTTAGTCGATATGTACCCTGTGCTTACAGGATAACATACAGGCTTTGCCGTTTCATATTGTTGCACACCCAAATACTATGAGACATCAACATGTGCGAGTTGAAAAAAAATGTATTTACTATCTTTTTATCTGGGAATACAGAAAACAGGCACATAAGTCTGACATGCTTCACTCTGCTGGCTGTGATGGTCTGCTGAACTACACACATTTTAAACACATTTAGCTAGCTGTAGCAGTTTAGGGGGTGGGGTGGGGGGTATATGCCCTAAAGGCTATTATAGCTGTTCCCCTACATTATACAGGTTAACATACATGACACTTTTAGTGTAACACACAGGGTACTAATGAGTACCATAACGGGTACTTAACAGGTACTAATAGGGTACGAAACAGTAACACACAAGCTACTAATTCACTGACTTCATTTATCACTTTACAACCATGGCATATGCATTATTCACATGCCCAAAGTCAGCATAAGAAAGTTCAATTACTGAACTAATACTGTATGAGCAGGCTATCTGGCTGATGCCTCGAGTACTACACCATTTGAAATGCAGTGCAAACTTTGCTTACCTGACTGGATATTTTTTTAGTCAAGCTGCAAATGGTATGTAGTCAGTGACATTGGTCAAAAATTGTGCTAATGCAACCGAGTTGCAAAAAATTATACTACTAGAATATGAGAGGTTGTGTTGTACAGTCTTGGTAGAAAAGTAGTAGTAGTAGTACTAGTAGTAGTAGTAGTAGTAGTAGTAGTAGTAGTAGTGGTAGTAGTAGTAGTAGTAGTGGTAGTAGTAGTAGTAGTAGTAGTAGTGGTAGTGGTAGTATTAGTAGTAAAAGTATAGATTGTATAATCTAGTGCAACTTGTTAGTTGCAAGTAGCATGCCTGCCCAGTTTTTGACTTATGTCAGGCAAAAAATATATACAGTGTATATTCTTTCATAAAGTGCATCACTGTTCATGTTTCAGCTCAGCTCATGACACAGTTCCCAAATTAGTCTTTTTAAAAACTGTACTAACGTATTAACCAGGCTTATTTCCTCACCACCCAAGAAAATAAATCGTGAAMTTGTGTAGAGATGAAGACACACTACACAATGTTTTGTCAGATTTTACCTAATTTGCCAATTTGGCAAACTCTGCATATGTCCGCAGTATTTGGCTCAAAACTATGTTAGTATGTTAGAGGAACAGATCTCAGTCTCAATCAAACATTTGAATTTCTGGAGCTGAACCATTTATGTGCATGTCTTTGAACCCATGTTTCATCATTCTGTACCACCTCCGATAAGCAGTGGTGGGCAGCACTAATCTAAAAATTAGTGCCACTAGCCTTAAAACACTAACTCAAATTGTTAGGTCCCCTAATTCTAAAGCACTAATGCACTGAAAGTTTTAGCAAAAGCTAATTATAAAGCACTAATATAACCCAGTCAACCCATGAACATTATACAACAGAAAACATGAGTCACATATTGCCATGCTGCTCTCTTAAGACTAATCATTGACACCCAAGGAGGTTCTATAGAACAGCAGGAGTGCGAAGAAACCACATGACTGTGTGATCGGCTGGTGAAGATAACAGCTAACGCAAAATGGTCAAGAGTTTGGATTTCCCTTTACTGTACATGTTAGCGACAGAGCAGAAAAAAGGATTGACGATGTAGAAATCATAAAAACTATTAATAATAATATTAACCTAATTATTATTAATATTTTACAGTTTATATAATCTAATGTTTTAAACTAGATACCACATAGCGGTAACATAATGACCCCTGCACGGACAAATGCACCAGAACTCAGAAGTCTTTATTCCTAATAAATGTCATGATACCAGATGCATTACAAAATTGTAGTGGTTTGGGTCGGGGTCTTTTTTTATTTTGGGTGTGGGTGGGTG